TGAAGGATCTCTGTGGGTGAGACCCCAGTGGAAAGAAATGGCCATCAAACAAGGATGTACTTTTCTCTGAAGGGAGGAGAGACTTCACTCTGCTTATGGCTTTGTCCAAATACTGACTGAGTTTGTGGATTCAAAAGGCTTCCATAGCCTAGACAGCTCATGTCAAAAGCCTCAGGTGGTCACTGACATCATACATAAGAGTGTTAATTGGTTTTTTTTTTTTTTTAAGATTTATTTATCTACTTGAAGTTACACAGAGGAGAGGCAGAGAGTGAGAGGTCCTCCATCCGATGGTTCACTCCCCAGTTGACCGCAACAGCCGGAGCTGCACTGATCCAAAATCAGGAGCCAGGAACCAGGAGCCTCCTCTGGGTCTCCCACGTGGGTGCAGGGGCCCAAGAACTCGGGCCATCTTCCACCATTTTCCCAGGCCACAGCAGAGAGCCGGATCAGAAGTGGAGCAGCTGAGTCTCGACCGGCGCCCATATGGGATGCCAGCATCTCAGGCCAAGGAATTAACCCGCTGCGCCACAGCGCCGGCCCCATAGAGTGTTAATTGTTAACAAGAGTCACTGTGCACTAACTCCCCATGCAGGACTGAGTTGTATTGAGAGTTAACTGCAAAATTAGTTCTCAGTTTTGTGTGTGTGTGCACAAATTCTTGAAATATTTACTTAGTATAGAGTTGGTCTTCTGTATACAAAGTTAATTGAAAATTAATCTTAATGGAGAATGGAACTGGCAAGGGGAGAGGGAGGAGGAGGAGGAGGAGTGGGAGTGTGGGTAGGAGGACAGGTATGGTGGGAAGAATAACTATATTCCTAAAATTGTACTTATGAAATTTGTATTTGTTAAAAAATAAATTTAACAATATCCTTTCTCCTACTACTAGTTGTGAGATCCTGGGCAAGTGACTTAGCCTTTCTCTGCCTCAGTTTCCTTATCAGTAAAATACAGATCAGAAGACTGCTTGCCTCGTACAACCGCCATGAGAATTATACTGCGATGCCTTCTCTGCCCTTCTTTTGTTATGAGCTCTGTCCTGCTGATTTGTCCCCAGTGCCTGACGTACAATGGTTCAGTAAGCATCACAGGACTTCAAAAAACTTGTGGAAAAATAAAATCAAAAGATAAGTTTATTTTGCTGCAAAAATCTTTGAAATTCATTAATTTTTTATATAATTTACATCTTTCAGGAACTTTCTAAGGAGCCTTTTTATGCTAAATGAATAGTGTATGGGGGCTGGCACTATGGTACAGTGGGTTAAAGACCCAGCCTACAGTGTCTGCATCCTATTTGGGTGCCGGTTAGAGTCCCAGCTGCTCCACTTCTGATCCAGCTCCCTGCTACTGCACCTGGGAAAGCAGTGGAGGATTGCCCAAGTGCTTTAGCCCCTGCACCCACATGGGAGACCAGGAAGAAGCTCCTGGCTCCTGGCTTTGAATCGGCTCAGCTCTGGCCCATTACAGCCACTTGGGGAGTGAACTAGTGGATGGAAGACCTCTCTCTCTGTCTCTACCTCTATCCCTAACTCTGCTTTTTGAATAAATAAATAAATAAATTTTTAAAAAAAGAAGAAGAAGTATATGAAAGCTAAAAGTCAGGGGCTAATGCTGTGGCATAGTAGCACCTGCGGCACCAGTATCCCACATTGGCACCAGTGTGTGTCCTGGCTGCTTCTCTTCCAATCCAGCTCTCTGTTAGTAGCCTGGAAAAGTGGCAGATGATGGCCCAAGTGCTTAGACCCCTGCACCAGTGTGGGAGAACTGGAAGAAGCTCCTGGCTTCAGATTGGCCCAGCTCTGGGAGTTGTGGCCATCTGGAGAGTGAAGCAGCAGATGGAAGACCTCTCTCTCCGTCTCTCCCTCTCTCTATCTCTAACTCTGCCTCTCAAATAAATAAATAAATCTTTAAAGAAAAAAGCTAACATCATCCTCACAAAAGTTGCTTGACATAATACTTTAAGTCAGTTGCTTTTGATAACATTTTTTTCCAAATTTCATTTGCTCTCTTTTTATTTTTGCTATTGTTTTCTAATATGCTTGTGAATTTTTTAAAGCAAACATGTGGGAAAATAATTTTAAAAAACAGTTAGAGAAATTGCAGTTTAGAGACTAAACGAACAGCATATAATTATATATAATTCATAGACATTAAGAAAACAAATGCAATGTTAAAGTTTCTTTGCATTTTACATCCACAGCATGAATTTAGAAGCTCAGTCTACTTCTACACGTATGTGTGCCTTTGCTTTGGAAAAAGTAGATGAGGAAGCTCGGTTAGTGATTTCACTTTGTGGAGAGCAGAAAGGGAGCTCCAGTTGCAAGTTGACTTTGCACCCACAGCCATGGTGATACAGGAGAATGCTGAAACAAATCGATATTTGGGCATGTCACTCGGACAGATTTATCATCCGGTGCTCATGCCTCTCAGGGGTCACAGCTGTGCCCTTTTGTACTGAGACCTGTGCTAGAGAGAGTCACACAACACCCATTTGAGTCATGAGGTGGGGCAGCTTGCATTTGCTCATTCAGGCTTTGAAACCAACTGGAGACACTGACTTGTGGGTGCAGAGGATGTTTGCTTGAGCCCCAGATTCGAATCCTGACTCAAGCTGCATCTACTCACACCTACCGCAGGGTGTTGTCCCAACAATTCTGTCTACGGCTGAGAAGGACCCTCAATGGGAACCTGAATGCATGCCAGCAGCCCTGTCCATGTTGATCAAACAGTAGGTAGTAGCTGGTTTTGGTTTTGGTTTTTGAAGCATTGTATTGTGCTAGTTAAGAGTGTGCTCTCTGGAGCCAGAATCCTTCAGTTCAAATGCACCTGTACCCTGTGCAGCAAATTAAAGGACTGCAAATTTCCTGACCCTTGCATCTTAGAGAAGGGTGAGGTCCTTGTCTCCTCCCTTGCCTGCCCTGATCAACAGAATATGGTAAAAGTGGCCCTGTCCCACGTTCTAAGCCAGGCCTTAAGAAAATGGCATCTAACACTTTCTATCTTAAAACTGAATATTGGGGGAGGCATGTGGCTCGGTGATTGGGATGCTGCTTAGAATGCCTGCAACTCTCATCAGGGTACCTGGAGTCCACTCCCAATCCCTGCTTTCTATTAATGTGTACCCTGAGATGGCTCAAGTTCCTGGGGCTGTGCTGCCCACATGGGAGGCCCTGGTTGAATTGCAGCATTTGGGGGATGAATCACTGAACAGGAGTGCTCTCTTGCTCTCTCTCTCTCTCTCTCTTCCCCCTTTTCAAATAAAATTAAAAAAAAAAAAAACCAGCCTAACAACACTGCTAAATCTATCACATGGAGAGCCCAGAGACTACAAGGAAGGAGAGAGGGGTCTGGCTGAGTCCAGTATCAAGAGCTATAACCACTGTTCCCATCAAGGCACTTGGCACATGAGCAAAGCCATCTTGAATCCTACAAACCCAAGAGATCGTAAACCAAACAAAAGCAAATCATCACCCACTGGACATCTACCCATATCCTTGACCCACATAAGCACAAAAAAATAATAGTAATAAAATAGTTTTAAATAGTCTTGGTGCAGTTTGTTACACACCCATCGATAAGCACCACAGCACTTACCAGCTGTTTTGGTTTCTTTATCTCTAAAACAGGGACAGTAATTATAGTACCTGACTTAGGGATTGTTCAGAGGATCAAGTAAGTTAGCACCATCACACCAGTGCGTAGACCAGTGAGTGGAGCGTAGGAAACGCTGTGCAAGGCTGGCTCCCGTTCTGCGTGGATCACAGGTCCAGACCCTGAGACAGGGCAGTCTGAGGGTGGGCTCTGTGTTGCCCCGCTCTCCAGGCCATTCTGTCCCTGTGTTGCCCAGCCGGCCTCTGCACAGCTGCTCTTGGCAGAATACTCCTACTGAAATGGCCTGGGCATGGCGGGGCTCGTCACGGAGCAGCGGAGCTCATTGCTTCACTGGGAGAACAGCTACTGTCCTCCCTCAGGCCTGAAAGCCCCTCCTCTGGCCCGGCCCCCTTCCTATCCACAGCTCCTCACCCACATGTGCACCCAGCACCTCCCAGCCTCCCCACTCCATGCTTCACCCATCTTCACCCTCCACTCTCGTTACCCTGCCAACGCCTCAAACGACCGTGGGGGCTTCTCTCTGCCGACACACCCCAGCCCAAGGGCTTGGAAGTGAGTGAGCTCCAAGTTTCCTAAAGAGCGCGCTGGGGAGTCCTGTTCCTTCCTACAGGTTGTGCCACAGCAGAACGATTCTGTGGGTACGAAGTTTGGAAAACTTCCCAACACTGTATTTCTCAACTCTTCTGAGATCATTCCAAGTGTATTTACAATTTAAAAACCCTAGAAAGTTCTGCTATTCAGAACTCTTTAAAAAAATCAAATCTCCCCAACATATCTTGTAGATGAAATATTTTTTTTTTTGGACAGGCAGAGTGGACAGTGAGAGAGAGAGAGACAGAGAGAAAGGTCTTCCTTTTCCATTGGTTCACCCCCCAATGGCCGCTGCTGCCAGTGAGCTGTGGGCAGTGCACCGTGCTGATCCGAAGCCAGGAGCCAGATGCTTCTCCTGGTCTCCCATGCGGGCACAGGGCCCAAGGACTTGGGCCATCCTCCACTGCACTCCCGGGCCACAGCAGAGGGCCGGACTGGAAGAGGAGCAATCAGGACAGAATCCGGCACCCCGACAGGAACTAGAACCCGGTGTGCTGGCACCGCAAGGCGGAGGATTAGCCTAGTGAGCCGCGGCGCCGGCCGAAATACTTTTTCTATCAAGGAAGGCTTCTCAGAAGAAGCGCCTGCTGAGCTGAGCCCTGGATGAAGGTCACCGGGAAGTGAAGGGGACAGGGAAGGAGGCAGGGAGGTGGGAAGCTGGACCTGGGAGGATGTGAGCCAGGGAGAGCCGAATGCAAGACCTGAGTGCCGAGAAGCCAGCCTCCTGAAGGCAGAAGCCATAGAAGGCCAGGTTTGCACTGGAAAAGGGCATTGGGACTCATTTTAGAAAAATCATTTATTCTCATGACCTACTTTAGATTGTTTAAAAATTTATTTATTTATTTATTTGAGAAGGAAAGACAGTGACAGAGAGAGAGAGGGCGAGCCCATCTGCTGGGCCAGTCCCCACACGTTCCTTAATGGCTGGCCAGTGGTGGACAAAGCCAGCAGGCAGGCAGTCTTCAGCTCTTGCACGAGGGTGGAAGAGACCCAACTACTTGAGCCATCACAGTTGCCTCCCAGGGTCTGCAGTTAGTAGGAAGCTGGAATAAGAAGCCAGAGCCAGGAGCTGAGCAAATGCACTTCAATGTGGAACACAGGCTTCTTCATTTCTAGGCCAAAGACTCACACCAATCTTTTTTTTTTTTAAACTGGAAGTCTATAGTAAGCAAAACATGGTGCATTATTACCCAATATCTATATACACAGAGCACATATTCTATAGAACGGCCCTTACTACACACAATCCCCACTGATATGTTCTACGATTGTTTTCCTCCTTGGAAAATCACTTCTAGCAGTCTGTTCCAATAGTCTAAGCAAGCAAAGATGGGGACTTGAACTCTAAATAGCAACATGTGGAAGCTCCATCTTCTCCCTGATGTGCTGGAGGCATAACGAGAGGGATCCACTCTAAGACAGGATGAAGAAGCTGTTCGTGTGTGTGCTCAGGAGCAGGTAACTTATCTAACTTCCATGCATGCATTCCCTTATCTCTTGTCACAGTGGGAGGCTGTGATGCCACTGCGGGCAGACAGAAAGTCTTGGGTTTATCTGGTTCCCTGGGACTGCACTTGGCACACTGGCGGACACATCGTGGGTGCATCCACCACCCTCACTGACTGCACGGCATGTGTGCTGAAGTAAGAAGTCCTCACCCACCGCAGGGAAGGAAGCTTAGAAATGGCAGCAAGCTTCACCCAGGTACTGAGCAGGTGTCCAGCAGGTAACAGGAGTCACAGGGAAACCATCTCCGACTCCTGCGTGTGTTAGCTCAGGAATCGAGTGCCTGTGTCCGCAGAAGGAACCCCTGGACTTCAGGCTGCATAGCCCCCTCCAGACAGACCTTCCAGGAGGTAAGGTCTGTGCGCACAGCAGCCACGTCCATTCTTCTCCCTTCTTCCGGGATCCCTGCTGTCTCACTACGCTTCCAGAGCCATCATCCGGTCTCCCTTCTGAGGTCTTCTTCCTACAAGACTGGCTACAGAGTGGGGCTCAATCTCCCCAGACACCTCCTTACTGCACCTAGCCTTTTTGGGTTAGGGGCTTCCTTGCCAAACACACACAGAAACAGAGGGTAAGCACAACCCATCCAGCGGGAGTACGCCGAGGAGGATTCTCAGAATCTCACACAATTTTCCCCAACGTCTTTGGTAATATGTTAGTGACCCCTACTTCCTGAGGGTGAATTTTACCAATGCCCCCCTCTCGTCATGCCCCTTTTACTGATTAGGTGTTTCACTTCCTGCTAAAGGCACAATTCATAGTTGAACAATTACTGAGTTAGTCACCGTCCAAGTGGTCAGGGCGTTGCAGAAGGGTGAAAGTCTCTCAGGGTCTCCCCTTCTCCACACAGGAAATACGTTATCTCGGGCTCTCCCTCGAAGTTACTCACGTACCACACCTTAAAATCCAGGAGGAAGTCTGAAGCAGGGCCCCCTGTATCTTTTATTTCTTTCATCTGTTCACTCACTGTAGATCAACAACTCCAGTCGCTAGTCTGAAAAGTCTAGGGCTTCCTGGCTGTGTTGACCAGTGCTGATCCAATGCCACACTTCTAGAAGCACAAGACACAGTCCATGGAGAAAGAAAAAAAAAAACCCAGACCCTGAAGGGGAGCAGACTTGCTCCAAGGTGGCACCAGCATTTGACTAATGCAACTTTTAGAAGCCTGGAACATTTTTCTTCTTTGCTGTTATTACTCCCAAAGCGCTTTGTCAAAAGCTGATGGGTTATAAATAAAGGCTACTGCCCACCTGTCTGGGTGTTGGGAAATAACCGGCTGCAGAGGGTCTCCTGGTGATCATGATGCACCTTGCTTTTTGTTCAACTAAAACTGGGCTCCCTAAGCAATTTTACCTGTTGCTCTCAGTTCCGACCTCCAAGCTCTCAAGGAAAAGCTGGCAAGGCTTCTTGCTCCACCCCTGATCCTTCTACTGTTACGTAAGCCCAGTACCAGGCAGGGTCATCGCGCACTGTGGATCTTAGTCTAGGCGTGGCACAGACTTTCTCTGATGACACAAAGCAACTGTATCGCACCCCTGGCAGTTGACAGAATTCCCAACAGGGGTGCGTTGCACCGCCTCCCACGCTTTGTCCTCTCTGCTTCCAGTTGAAACACAGATAATTCTCTCCGTCTCCTCTGCCCTGTGGAACTTCCTTTCCCCTTAGCCTTTGTGAACCCAGTGGTTTCCATTCCTCCATGTAAGATGTAGCTACGCGAGCTGAGTAGGAAAACCGCTTTAGCTAATTCCATCTCACCTGGTGGGAGACATTGTACACACTTGAGTAACCAGTAGAGAAACACAATGAAATAAAATAATTTCCATAGGCAATTAGACCATCAAATTATTTTCATGTTGAAGAAAACAGACCGCTCTTTGGCTTAACCTCACATCCCAGGTTCTCCGCGGAAAAGACCAAGCACACGCACTACAGACCATTAAGTTCTTGGGAGACAGAATCTTAACCAGGATGTAACTCAGTTATGAGGGTCATTTGTGAAGACCCCGGGGGGAAATATTTCTTTAACTGGGCAGGGGCATTGTCAGATTAGAGGGGCAGGGCTTTTAAGCGCTGTCCGTGCCAGCCCCGTCTTCGATCGCAGCAATGTGAGTGTCTTGTCGGTGCTGGTAGATTATTAACAGAGGTTATTGGTCTCCATGGCAAAACGATTGACTGATTGCACTGAGCATAATCTCATTTATGGGGGTGCAGGGAAAAAAGGGACGTCAGGCTGCGGAGAATTATAAATGTCCATCACCACTGAGGTTCTGCCATACTTGAGCGGCTGAAGTGACTCCAAGGACACAGCTCACAGGGATTTGGTTCTCGGTCCCAAAATACTGAGTGCACCGGGGACAATTACTGGGGCACTCCAGCCAAAACCCTTGAAGAGGCCCCGGGCAGGAGGCAGCCAGGAGTCCGTTGCTGCTGAGCAGTGCTGGGCCTCTCAGCATGTGCACAGGGAGCTGTGCCAAGTGCCTGGGGGGCACCCTCATCCCCCTGGCCGTGCTTGGCTTGCTGGCTAACATCCTGCTGTTTTTCCCGGGAGGGAGAGTGGCGGACAACAACGACCACATTACCACGGAGGTCTGGTATTTCGGAGGAATATGTGGAAACGGGATCTTGGTGAGTAGGGAAAAGCCTTACAGTCTGCCTACCTGGGCTCCCCCTCCGTTCTATCCTAAGTGCAGTCCTTACCGAACAGAGACGCTGTTCTGGGTTGACGAAAGCCGGAGCAATGCGTGCTGAGCAGGCAGTGCATAGTTGATGTCCTCGCTCTGTTAGACTGACAAGGACAGTCCACTGGGTCTACTGACTAATCCCCTGGCTTGGGCTGGCGGTCCTCATGGGACATTCAAGTCCTGTGAACCAAATCGATGGCTGCAAAAAAAAAAAAAAAGAATGCTTTCTAGAGACTTGATTGGCATAAACTACCAAGAGATGCAGGCGTCAATGGAGTCTTCCTCCATTGGTGAAAGATTTCTTTATCCCTGGTTTCCAGCAGAATTGGGAAGCTCTGATGGGACGGGAGCTTTTCCTGTCCATTGAGGAACAGCTCCTCGGTCGTGTGCTAACCCACCACCTAAATAAAAACTCGGGGTGCCAGACCTGAAAGCTTGCCGTGTTGAAGCTGAAGGCAGTCTGGTCGAATGGAACCTTAGCTCCCATTAACGCTCCTTCTGCCCAGCCAGCCATGCCTGGCTGGCGTTTGCCGCCCAGCCCCTGGGAGCCTCCAAGCCCCCCTGACCAGGGACGGGGCTCCTGACGCAGCCAGACCTCCCTCTGAGACTTTTCTCTTGCTGGCAGATGATCTTCCCTGCGCTGGTGTTCTTGGGCTTGAAGAACAATGACTGCTGTGGGTGCTGCGGCAACCAGAGCTGTGGGAAGCGGTTCGCGGTGAGTTCCTGCGGCAGCCACGAGGGTGCGCTGTGTCTCCCGGGATGGGCAGCCTGGGGCAGGGGCAAGTGAGCCCACCCCCGCCAGGACTCTGGGGGCCAGCTGGGGCGGGGAGAAACCTGGGAGTCTTGCTGTTGGTACAAAATAACAACAATGATACATCTGTATAGGAGGCAACCTTCAAACTGGTAGGAGATGACACACACCTCTGTTACCAGGAGGCAGGGTAGTCGGAGCTGGGGAACCAGAGTGGTGCCATTTAAAGGAAGTAAGCTTGGAAGGTGCGGATGGGGGATGTAGCTCTCCCCCTGCCACGGACAGGCCACGGAGTCTTGGACAAGGCATTGCCTTTCTCTGGCCCTGCCTTGTTTCAACTGTAAAGAGAATTTGAGACAGGGTAAAAAATGACACATTCCCCCTCCCCCAACAGCTCCCCAATCCCCCACCTAAGCCACTGCCGGGTCCACTATCTCTGTGCCCAGCAGTTCCCGGCTCCACCCAGGTTCTGCCTCGGGACCTCGGTTTCCTCTCTTGCTTTGTGTGGCCCTCCATCTGTTAGCTGGAGAGCTGGAGAGATCAGGCAGGTATCGGCCTCTGGGAAGGGGAGACGATGCTGGGACCCGGGGTTGGGTCCCCTTCTTGCAGCTGGGCAAGTCCCTGCGCTGTTCTGCCTCCCTTCACTCCTCTGAAAACGAAGGAAGTGGAACTAGATCAGAATTTCCCACATTTGGGGCCAGTCCCGGTGGTAGGTATCCGGATGCGCTTTATCTTTGAACAGCAAAGAATGTTTTCAATTCTTTTTCAATCCATGTAGTTCTAGTAAGGAAAAAAAAAAACATTTTGATGGCGCTCAGTCTTTATTATTTCAGACCCTTTCTAATCGCCCTGTAGAACAAAGGGAGTACAAGTCTCAGGCTCCAGGAACACAAGCAACATTAACTAAAATTCAATAATGTGTGCTTGTGTCCGCTAATGAGGCTAGTTCTCATTTATAATAGTGATATGAATGAATAAGATACAGAGTTACTTGCAGAAAAAAGCACTGAGTTTAGGTATATCGATGTGGGGGAAATGAAGAAGGAAAAACGAGAATTACAGGCTGGATGATGAGTAAGGCCAGGTTTTCCTCTAATCTCCACGGTTCAGTTCCATCTAAGAGACTTGTGAACCCCAGCAGTGAACTGTACTCACTCACTTCAACTTCTTAAAGGGAAAGATGTTTCAATCCTTCTGAAACAGAATCGTCTGAACGTTTCTTTCTCATCATTATCTGCTCATTTATTCAATTAAATATTTATTGGAGGGCTAAGACTGGTGCATTGTGCATAAATGCGGGTACTTCCAAAAGTTCATGAAAAATCAGATTAAAAGGTAAGTTTGTTTTGGTGTAAAAATGTTTTAATTCGTGTACAGTTTTTTTATAGTACTTATTTTCCATGAACTTTTAAAAGACCCTTTGTACTAGTTTTCCATTTGAGATCGAAGATTATTCAGACAATGTATTCAACCTTCTAACCACCGTCATGGGTCTCAAAAAAGTATTGATAATTATTCCTTTAACATCTAAAATAATTATTTTAAAAAGATATAAAGCAACCATAATCTAAGATAATTATGAAATATATGGGTATATAAAAAGATAATATTTTCATATGATGAATTATAAAAAAGGGTAAATATATGACTCATTTTCCCCTTGAAATATAATCCTACTATACCTTGTCAACTTTGGAGGATACATTGGAAATCAGTTTGAAAACCAATTAGCAATGAAGAAAATCAAGTGAAGAGAAAGAATCATGACTTGAAAATCTAACATTTCATTCATAGTGCTGAAGACTGACGATTACAACACAAGAGGGTTTTTTGATTTTGGTTTCTTGATAACCACAGTAAGAAGTGAAATATTATTCAGAGTATTATTTTCATTAGACTTAAACTAAGTCTAAGAAGGCAGAAGAAACCTGTGTTTGCAGGAACAATTGAGAGAACACACCTGAAACACTGGGTCTGTCCAGGGCACTTGTCTAAGAGCTCCCTGCCTCCAGGTGGGGTTTGCCCTTGGTGTGAGTTCAGAACAACACCTGCAAGCGACTGACGGTCCAGAGAGATGGGCAGTGTCCGTCAAAGAGCCAGCTGTGGCAGACTGCAAATCAAGGCACCCAGCCTTGGCCACCCTGGCCCAGGGCCCACCACATGCTAGGGAGCTGTCACAAGGATTTCTTGATTTTTACTGGTGTGTTCATCTACTGTTAAATTTCAAAAATGAGAGATGGCACCAAAAAAAAATCTAGATATCTTACTTTCTTTGAAAAATAAAAACAAACAAACAAAACCACAAAGAATTGGGAGCAGGCATTGTGGCACAGCAGGTTAAGCCCCAGTTGGGACACCACATCTGTCACTGGAGTACCTAGTTTGAGTCCCAGGGCTTCTGATCCAGCTTCCTGCTAGTGTGGCCAGGAGGCCGTGGATGTTGGCTCGGGTACTTGAGTCTCTTCCACCCACATGGAGACCCGGATGGAGTTCCTGGCTCCTGGCTTCAGCCTGGCTCAGTCTTGTCTGTTACACTCTGCCTTTCCAATGAAGTAATTAATTAAAAATCAGCCCGACACTCCACGTTTTGGTCCACACTTCGGCATAGCAGTGGCCTGCCCCAGGCGTGGCCGAGCCACCCTGACCACTCCACTCCATCCTGACCCCTGCCCCACCCCTGAGGCCTGCTTTAACAGCTGTGTTTCCTCAGTGTTCAGGGGATCCAGAGCACTAAGCAATAATCATTTATTTTCTTAATTTGAGAGACAGAGAGAGAGAGGAATAGAGCCAGAACTTGTATCCACTGGTTCGCTTCCCTGCAACAAGAGTTTGGCGAAGGCTGAAGCCAGGAGCTAGGAACTCGGTTCAGGTCTTCCATGTGAGGGGCAGGGACCCAACTACTTGAGCCAACACCTGCTGCCTCCCTGGGTCTGTATGTGCAGGAAGCTGGAGCCAGGAGCAGAACTGGGACTCGAACCCACGTACCCTGGTGTGGAACACAGACATCTTAACCCCGACCAAATGCAACAAAAAGGAAACAGCTGCAGCGTAATTATGGTGGAATTATAATGCTGAAGGTGTGAATTCTTTCCCAACATGCTCCAGGCATGCTTAGGGAGCCCTGTGCCTCTGCAGGACAGTGTTGCAGAAGCTGGGCTGAGCAGAAAGGCCTGTAAGGCAGACCAAGATCAGACAGCCCTGCACCTGCCACCCTCTCTATCTGCCATCCTCACTGTGTCAGCTGCTTGATGGCCCCTCACCTGGCTCCCTCCTTTCTTGTCTTCCTGGAACAGCCCTGGACGTCGGCTGCACCCTTCTCTTCCCCTTCCTTGGGCAGTAAAATCAGGCTGTGGGAGGCAGGAGAAGCAGGGTGTGCAGGCTTGGGGAGTAAAGCAGGAGCTGAAGGGGTCCAGATGGCCTCGGCAAGTTCCAAGACAAGACTGAGAAAACGGAGACGGGCTCTTCTTTGAGGCCAAGCAAAAAGGAAGCTCAGCCCCAGGTGTCTGTTCACCTTCAAATAAATTAGGCTCCATACAAGCTGGGAAAAGTGAGTCCTGGAGCAAAAACAGTGACTTCCGGGGTGAGCGCTGACCTGGGTTTGTTTTCAGGATTCCACAGCCACCTCGCCTCCTGGCAGCCTGTGTGTGGCTGGAGAGCATCTCCTGCCCCTAATCCTCTAAGAATTTCTCTCTCGGGGGCCATTGGGGCAGATCATTAATTTTATCAACTCATTCATGTGAAGGATGTGCTTTAATAAGTCTTTTGGAGACCTTGGACTTGACTCGTTATCTTTAATAATGGGATGGGCGGTAGATTGATAAATTAGATAGTTGGGGCAGGCAGGCGTTTCAGCATCAGGGAGATAAAGCACTGGCTCCCCACTCACCATGGTCAGGGTCAGGTGAAGGGTGTGTTTGTCCTGAAAGGACAGCGATCCCATCCTAAGCAGTCTGGGTGCTGTAGACTGCATGTCTCCCTGTGCCTGGCTCACCTGCGCCCCCTAGGGACGTCTCCTGAGTGAGCACTTCAGGGAACTCCCTCCTTTTTTTTTTTTTTTTTTTTTATCTTTTATTTAATGAATATAAATTTCCAAAGTACGACTTATGGATTACAATGGCTTCCCCCTCATACCGTCCCTCCCACTCACAACCCTCCTCTTTCTTGGAATAGTAGCCAATGTAAGGAAGGGATTTAGCAAAGACAAGTCTTTGAAATAATGGATTCTCTTGAAAGGAGAGATTAAAGTACGGAGCAGTATTTCTTCACTAAACATTTTCTCCTGCTGAAAGGTCAGAGCAGTAGCTCCGTGTCACTAGACTGTTGCAGTAACTGAGGGGGGAGGTTGCATCAGTGAGACGTCTCGCTAAGTGCAGAGGGTGTTAAGAACACATGAATCCTCTGTAAATGCTCGTTGGTTGTTGGGGAATGAAATACATGAACACCCCGGAGGCATTCCGGGGGATTTCCATATTTTAGCAGACCTGATTGTCAGGATAATCCATGTGTAAACTGTTGAGTTCTTTGGGAGCACAGAACTTCTCAAGAAGCATCATCAGTGATTTCACCATTCTTCAGCCCAAGCGGCACACCCAATTTGCTGTTAGTTCTTCTTGCTTCAATTTTGTTAGAATCCTCTGAAAGGGGATCTTTTCTCATGGCTGTCTTACCCTTCTCAGTGCCCCAACTAGATCCTGTTCAGACAGGTCCCAACAGGCCAGTGTGAGTTGATTGTGATACAGAAATTATCTGAAACCCAGTAGTTTTTTTCATAATGCACATTTTCCACGAGCTTTTTAAAAAGACCCCTGGTGAATGAGGAAACAGAAACTCACGCCTGTTCACTCCGACTGCCACCCCTTGTCCAAGTCTTGCTGAAGCCGAAAGTGAGGGACATAGTGTTGTGGGAAAACGTGTACCATCTGCACAG